GAGAGAGAGAGAGAGAGAGAGAGAGAGAGAGAGAGAGAGAGAGAGAGAAGATGGAACAGCGAGATAGAAAATTTTGCGACACGACCATTCAAGTTTCTCGCTGATTGTATCGCGCGCGTGACTCGAAATCGATCGAACCACTGTAGAGGCAAGATTTTTCACAATGCGGCACGCGCGCGAAAACATTTCCACGGCGACCTTCGTCGTGTCATGTATGAATCGCACGCACTGACACCGGAAAATTTATCTCGTTGAAATTAGTAAGTTTATAACGCAACCGCTTTTTCTCCCGCGCGGGATATTGGCGTAAAGCTCTTCGTTTAGGAGTTTATTCATTAGGTACGTATTTTTAGTGGCGTGCGTCAAGAGGACTACTTATAAATGTATTGTTATTAAGTAAAATTACGTTTTTTATATATTTATTTCTCTATCTAAATAATACATGTGTTAATTCGAAATTAATTTCATAATATTATTTTGTTATATTTTACTCAATACAATGCTACATTCAAAGCATAGAATAGCACTTTTTTGACCTACAACGAACGGTGCAAATAAATTTCATGGAGTTTCAATTATGAATACGTTTTGCTAATAAATGTTACGTAAAATTTTTGTATAATCTTAAGCACTTTCGTTGAAACGAGTAAACTTCTTAAGTGTGTTTTTCACTCATACATGCGTGATTAAGTCTCGTGTGCAACGCGCGAGCGGTCGACCAACGATGATGTCAGAGATTTATATAAGAGTTTTATGTTATCAATTCGCGGAAATAGACGGCGCGATTGTGAACGCGAACAATGTGAAGTTACGGCGAAGTAGAATTTTGTGTTTTAAGAGCATTCTATTGAGAGAGAGAAATATGCGTGTTAAAGAAAATGTATCTTTTCTCTCACAAATATCGCGATATATACGATTTTCTTCGTTCACTATAGTTTAATATATTCTACATATACTTTTACTCCATATAATAATATTCCACATAATTTACATTGTGTCTACATGAAAAGAATAAACCGTGCATACATCACGTGAACAATACGTAGACAATCCGCGCAGATGTGATATTGAAATCTACGGCACAACCCTGGTTATATTGGACATTATGAGAATATCATGTATCAAAACAACGTCGACTCAGGCTTTAGTTGGTCCTTTTACATTGAACCGATCGTGCCAGAGGCGTTAGACGCAACGATAACCATGTATGTACACGTTAATCGCGCTTAATTACATCCTTTGTATCCGCTTATTGACGTATGCGTGAATGGGATTATAATCTGGAAATATACAACGTGTGTGTCGCTATAATTCAGGAAAAGTTGAATCAAAGCGTTGCAACTGACCCTGAAAATTGCGTTTAACAAGGCCGTAATCGGAAATGACCGTGCCGATTTTCGACTGCCGTCTCGGGCTGGTATTCATAGTCAGATCTTATATTTAAGATTAAGTTCACCTTCAGATACTCCATACCTAATAAAATGATCCGTACAGCATCTGAAGATTAACTTAAGATCTTAAATATAAAAACCGACTATGAATACCAGAATATCTCGGTGTTTAAATTTGGAGTTACGTCCCGCGGAAACCTCAATCGCGAAAGCGCCACAATGAAAGCCTGATTCGCGGTTTCCGAGCCGAGGTTGTGCCGGCGCGAAGATGTCAGGGCCGGTTTCTTAACAGAACGGCCTCAAGGCCTTTATTGAGTAAATACACCATGCGCGGCGTTATGCGACGGCGCGTTGCTCAGAGCGAAACGTAATGACCGGCTTGTGCGTGCGTGCGTATATATGCCGTACATTGAGACGCATACCGATCTTAATATTTGTCACGTATCTACCTCTGGTATTTCGATTAGCAAATTGCACGGTTGGGCAGTCGCGCGAGTCGCCGCAGGCCCGATTCTTTCGGGATCGAAAGTATATCACTATAATTATGACGGAATGCTTTTAAGAAATCTCTCCACCACCGGCGTGGTAGATTCATTGGCATTCAGGGATTAATAAAAAAATAAAAGAGACGTAACAACGTAGAACAAAAACTAGATCATTTATTTGTTATACACGGAAAAAATATTGTAGTAAAAATTGCGACAAAATTTTTCTAATCTTGGATCATACGGAATTATGGCCAAAATCACATTTGTTTAAAAATATTGCGCACGTTTGACTCTACTACAAAATTATTGTATTCACTTGAATACATCGTGCATCGAATAGGGACCGTCAAATTTATTATTTTTATTATAGTAATTTATGCTACAATTTCATTATAATTTAGTTAAAAAAAAACATTATAAAAAGAGACGTAATTTTTATGTAATTCTTATTACAATATTTTCTCCGTGCGCTCTCTCTGGACTCGAAATATCTCATGTTTATGTTGAAAAAGCGATATAAATAACAACTGATTTAAGCATTTATAATTTTAATTTTTACATTATTATGTTCTTAAGTTCGAGGGTTCGCAAATTAATAAATTCGCACGTTGATTTAGATGGCGCCTAAAAATAAAGAAAACAGCGGCACTAAGCGGAAGAAGCAGCAGGTAGACGACGAGAACGACGATGATTATCGAAAGCGAAGGGATCGAAACAATCAAGTAATTTATCGATTTCGTAATGTGCATTATTATTCGTATATTGATTAGTTGACATGTGAATCATTGTTAGTCGTTATTTTCGCATTTCACAGGCTGTGAAACGATCCAGAGTAAAGAGCAAATTACGCACGATACGAACCTTAGAGCGGGTTAATCAGCTAAAGATGGAGAACGAATTACTGGAAGAGAAGATCAAAATGCTTACCAAGGAGCTCGGCTTCCTCAAGGACCTCTTTCTCGCACATGCAGGTAAAGCAACTCTGATGTCTCTGAATGTTCTGACAGCGAACTCAAATAAATATCGTTATTTGTATTGTGATATCGTCTTGTATTCTACCTAATCTTCTAAGATATTCTCCAACATTAGCGCACTTGTATCCGTTGAAACCCTAATTAAACGACGATTCCAATCTTTTGTCTCAGGCTCCAATCAACACTCTATAAATCTTCAAGATGTAGATCTAAATGCTCTCTTAGCAGAGGATAAGTCTGAAGAAGAGTCAACAAAAACGATCACCAAGTCATAGATCAGTGCAAGCACCACGTGAAGCAATCAGCGTGGTATTGATAGACATGAAGAAACACTCTGGCTCGTTTAATCGAAACAGCGAGTGGGCATCTTGGAAAGATGTCCACTTTAAATTCATTGGGTAAAAATCGAGGCGCGGTTTCCTGCACACGAGAGCCTTCGGAGTTGCAACGTCGTCGGTGAATTACCATCAGCTAAATTTATAACATATTTAAATGACGAAAGGTGATAGGAACGAGAAAATGCGAGACGCCGCGGAACCATCTCCCGCAATAGACATGTAATATACTCATGATATTACAATTCGAGTGCAAAAGGTAAATTTTAATAGAAAAGTTAAATTTGAATCAAGAAGCAAATTTTTCATTAAGCTCTTTTTATTGAGTATTTCTATATATATAAATTAAAATAGTGCAAAAGAATTTACATTGATTATTCTTTAGTGCTCGCAAAACGACGTGAAAAATAGTGAAAACTTTCCGCGAATATATATCATTGTACATATATATTTGAACGTTACTATTGCGTAACCCTTATTTCGTGCTTGCTTAAGGGATATGCTTATATGTACATAAAGAGTAAAAAATAAAACATACATAGAAATATGATGTATTGGATATGTCGTTAAGATGAAATTAATCACATTTTAATATGCTGTATGTTATTTAATTTTTACACACATTATGACTCATATATACGTATATAATCTACACGTTAAGAAAAAGTTCTTGGAAACAAATTATACGAGGTTATGTTTGATTTGAATTCAGAATAGGAAGCATATGTTTACCACTCAACATATATTTTTCAACATAAAATTATTACAATGTTGTATGTAAATAAATAAATAAATGTGTGTGTGTGTGTATGTGTGCGCGCGCGCGTGTGCGTGCGTGTGTGCGTGTGTGTGTGTGTAAAATTGTATAATAAGAGATATATATTTTTAGCTTCAAGATACATTATGTACACTGATATTCATAATGTCTACGTGAGCATGTAGAAAACATGCGAATATTATGTTTGAAATAAAAAATGTATGAAGAGAAAAAAGAATGTATAGATAATATATATGGTAGAAATAGATCTCTTTATAATAGATTATTCAACGCGAGTATTTAATTTTATGTAAACATCAAAAAGATTTGACGAAGGGAATAGTTATACGCGACAGTCGCCTTCAAATAGCCGATGGAGTGTAGATACCCGGAAGATGATCGTCGGCACCTGTATGCTTCAATACTCGCGGCCGAAAAGACCCGATCGATCCTCGGCTGGCGTTCGTGAAGCGCACGAACGTCGTAGTGTTCGGACGAGCCCTGTACGATATCTAAGTAGCAAATCCTACATTTTCGGATATCAATGAAACACCAAATGGCGAAATAACGAAGTTACGAGTGACAAGATACAAAATTGGAAACCTCCAGTTGCGTCGAACTCGTCCTCGGGCACCGTGGGTGACGTTGATATCAGAACATCACAGAAGAGGCGCCTCGAAATCAGTCTACGATCCTGGATCGTCTGTAGCGCGGTGGGCCGCCGCGACGCGCCGCGCCGCGCTGGTGGTCTAGCAGACGACATGTTGGCTGCAGGGAGTACCTCGTCTCGGACGTTTCGGCCGCGAGTTTTCTCGGGGATACTTGAGTGAGGAGAGACAAGCTCAAACTCGGTGAAGAAGCGCGGTGGCGAGAGAGGTCGGTGAGGGCGCGAGACCTCTCCGAAGAGGGTGTGCGTGTGTGTTTAAAGACGGCCGAAAGCAAGAGAGGGAGAGAGAGAGGAAGAGAGCAGGTACGCAAGGGTGCGGGTTCCCAGAGTACTGCTGCTGCTGCTGCTGCTGCTGCTGCTGCTGCTGCTGCTGCTGCTGCTGCTGCTGCTGCTGGCCGTGCGGTGACCGTCGACGAGGAGCTCGTGGTTGAGAAGGAGAAGAAGAGGAGGCGGAGGGGGGGTGGGGTAGAAAAGCGCGGAGGAGGTGAAGGTGGCAGGGAGGAAACAGGGCCCAGAGAGTGAGCCCTCGAAAAAGCAGAGCCTGAAACAAGAGGAGCAAGAAACCAGAAAGGCGACAAGTACCGCGAAACAGTCCGTGAACTGTTTTCGCACGGATGTGAAGAAGATCTTCTGTTCGAGAACGTGCTATATAAGAGTGAAGAGGAGAAGGAGGAGGAGGAAGCGAAGGAGGCGGTGATAGTAGCCGTCGTGCCGGCGAGGAGTGCGAAGAGGGAGTCACGGACAGACGACGGCAAAGTTGAGAGCAGCTCGGAGCAGGAAGAGAGGAAAGAAGAGCAGCGGCACGTTATCCTCGACGCGAAGCGACGTGACATCTCTTCGACCACAGCTCGATCGACGATCCTGACCGATCCGCAGGGCAGCTTACGACCGCGCTGAACGGCGCGCGAGAGAGTGACAGAGCCGATCTATTTTAGCCTTTCATCGTCGCCGGTGTGCCGCCACCGCTGTCGACAACGCGCCGTCATATCGGCGCGCGGGGTAGGGAGTCTCCGATCCGATCCGCGTCGAGGAGGTGAGGTGAGGCGAGGCCGCACAGCCGTCGTGTTTTACGCGCAACACGCGCCGTGTCCCTCTACCTATAGAATCGAGCTCGCGTGTACATATCTGCCTCGCTTCCTCTCTTTCTCTCTCTCTCTCTCTCTCTCTCTCTCTCTTTTTCACACTCTCCCTCTCTCGCTTTCCCGTCTCTCGCGCCGTCCACCAGATCGTCGGAGACGTCGCGGCAAGGGAGAAGAGACGTACCTCGCGCGACCAACGACAGAGAGGTAGTGTCGCGTCGACGTATTGTCGCCCCCGGCTGTCCCGTGTGCACTGACTACGTGCGTGTGGTGCGTGCGTGCGTTCGTGCGTCCAGAGTGTATGTGTGTGCGTGTGTCTGTGCCGCGTACGTTCTCTCCTGTACGCGGGAGTAACAGCAGCAGCCTCCTCACGACCGGCGCTCTCGGTGCCGCTGTCGTCGTCGTGGTCGTAGTCGCGTCGCTGCTACCGCGCGAACGCAACACCAAATTCATCGTGCCGTCACACCGTGTGCGCACCGTGTCACCGTGTCATCGTTGCGTTGACTTTGGTGCTTCGTTAGCTGTCGTCGTTGCTTCTCCGTTTTCGACATTATCGCTGGACATCGCGCGCGCATACACTGCTGCAGGAGCATAACCTCGGAAACGTCGTGACCGGCCGCCATCGACGTCGTGCGCGGCGCGCGCCGTCGTCGTCGTCGTCATCGACTCTGACACCGTCGTCGCCGTCATCGACATCCCACCGACAGGTTACATCGCCTCTCATTCTCTCCTATCGTGAACGAGCGAGAGAGGAGGCGGAGGCGCACGATCGGAGGGAAGAAGAGGGCGAGAGAGCGCAACACGGGGCTCTCTCAGTTGCCGCCGGGCGAGCGAAGCGCCGGAGCTTGTAGTGTGCAATAGTTATGATTTCGCGGGTAGTGGAGGCTGTCAGTGATCGAGACAGGCGTGAAGTGTGCTCGTGAATGTGTCGCGCTGAAAGATACATCGGGAGTACACAAGAAAGAGAGAGAGAGAGACACACACACAGACATAACAGACAGGAGGAGGAGCAGACGTCGTCATCATCATCGTCGTCGTCGTCGCTGCCGTCGTCAGTATTGCTCCGTCGCTGACAAAAAGTTATCAAGAATAAACGAGAAGTAGGAGGAGGGAAGGCAAGAAGAGAGAGAGAGAGAGAGAGAGAGAGAGAGAGAGGGGGGAGAGAGAGAGAAAGAAGCCCAAGGCGGGCGGAAATAAAAAGACAACAAGAAGAGCTCCACGCTTGACAGAGACGAGGGAAGAACGATTGCCGTGGCCAGTCGTCGCTATCCGCGTCTGGTTTCAGGCAGAAAGAGAGAGAAAGAAACGTCAGTCGGCCGAAGAAGCGGGCAGAGGACGCAGCGCGAGCGAGCGCGCCGCACCGCACCGCACCGCACCGCGCGCGACGACCGGGACGAACGGAACGGCGGAATCGGAGAAGAGCGAACGGCGGGAACCGCGGAACGGGAACGACCGTGCGCGAACCGCGGGACACGAGGTGTTTTTTGAACGGTGGCAGATTCGTGACGGCGGCAGCGGAACTGTAAACAATAACGACGACGCCGTCGGAGCCGCCGGTCGCACAGTCACCCTCGACAACTCGCTCGCGGGACGTCCGTCCCGATCGCCCTCCCTTTCGTCGTTCACCGTAACCATCGCCACCACCATCACCGCCACCACGACTCGGGAAGTCAACGGGCCAGGACCGCTGGACGTGGAAGGAAAGAACGGTGAAGGCGAGTCGCGCGTGTCCTTCCCGTGGTGTGTCATGGGGTGTTTCGGTAGCCAGAGTAGCAAGGCCAGCCAGGATGACAGCAAAAATCAGAAAAGACGGTCGGACGCCATTACCAGGCAGCTACAGAAGGATAAGCAGGTCTATCGGGCCACCCACAGGCTACTCCTGCTCGGTAAGTTGTTATTACGATTACCTACCTATCTACACCTATGCGATGGTCTTCTTACGCTTTGGGGTTGGTAAAGCGAAGAGTATCTTCGTCGACCCAGAAGAAAAAAACAGATTAAATTCGTCATCTCGCGGGTTCACTATATAACAGACGTTTGGCTAACCTAACCATAACCTAACCATAACCCAACGCGCGTAGGTTAGTTTGGTTTGGTTAGACTAGGTGGTAGTCTGAGGGACGTAATGGCTGCAGAAAGAGAACTGCAATTGCAACTGTTGCAAAATTCGTGAATCTCTGATTGGCATATGTTTTTACATTCGGCCAAGATTAAGAGCATACACCAGTCAAGATTTATAAATTTTGCAACAGTTGTAAAGCAGCTGTTTCTCTGCTAAACGCAATCAATGAAAATTTCGAGCAGACGATATTGTTAGCATCTTTTGTGTGAAATCCAATGACATTTTGTTTTTATCCCACACACAATGTCGATTCATCTATTACGGTATATTGAAGGTAGCCTGTGCGAATGTATCTCGTTCAGATGTCTCGCGTGCGCTGCTAAGATAATTCCCGGATATTCTTCGCTGCTCGTTACAACGATCGCGTTAAATCGAGCCACGTTAAATACAAGAGGGCCCGGCCTAGCCGCCGGTTTTGGACAAAGAAGCCGAGGACAAGCCGGCCGCTATCGTGATGTTCAGCGGCGCGTAATTCAATTTTATCGATTATCGTACAGAGCACAGGCACCCACGAATATCCAACGGCCGCCTCGTGTTTGTACCCTTTTTATCGGCTCCGATCCCCTGTGTCTCTTTCATCGTCTCTTTCTCTCTTTATCTAGCTTTTTCTCTTTGCTCTTCAAAATAAATAACAACTGTTGGGAGAGATAACGTTGAACGAATTAACGGAGCAATAGCTTTAGCGACGAAATAATTGTTGAGCAGGTCGATTTTGTAGGTCGACCGGCACACAGCCTTCAGCGAGAAATGAACATTTCAACGCGCGCGAGATAATTAATAAATTATAATCGTGCGTGTGACATCTAGTATGCTCGATTATTTAACGATGTCAGTTGATCTGTCGTATCGACCTGAAGAGATTAGTGCGGCCGTTGGAGCATCCTAGTCGCATCACTACGCTTTAAGGTCCTTTAAAGTCAACATGATAGGCAAATTGTTATTGCTAAATAGAGCCTGCGGTCAAACAATCACTTCGCTATTAAAAGACGGAAGATTTCAAGAATAATTCGCTCAGCTCTCTATTTCTTCCTTTCATTCGTAATCTACTTAATATTTGTAAATACTGAGCGTCTCATCTTTACGCGTGTATACTTGAAAAAATTTTTGCACGATATATAAAAACATGTGTGTGCCATTTTGTTATTTTCTTTTATATTATATTCAAACGTACGTCCATAGAGAACTCGCCCGAGAAGTCTAGGAACTCCACACTCGTTCACTCGTATAGATTTAATATTCACAATTCTATATTTATGCTTACGTTAAGTCATGAATTGTTGTGCTTTAAGATTCTCCTTATTCTCCTTAAAGAATTGCTTATTTCTGATAGGGTGAATTTTTCTGAAATTATAATGCTTTGGATTAGTTAAAAATGAGTGATTTTCTGAATGTCTTTTTCTTATCATATCTGTTGTTTCTCCCATAACGTTTCACTTTATTTACGTATTTCCTTCAATACACTTTTCCATAATAGGCTGATTAATCGCACTGAGAAAAGGAAAATTTATTCACGGAATACAAGGTTTTTACTCACAGAAATAAACTTTACATCACAGATAAATTTTCAATATATTTATTATAAATAAAATTTCGATATATTTTTTCTCGGTGAGATTGTTATCTATTTTTTGCTCGACTCTCTTAGACTCGACTTACCCTCTCTACACTCCTCTATCTGACTGATTGCTTTGACGCTTATCCGTAGGGAATACATTCACTGCTTCAAGGATTGTTGCTATTAATTGAAGAGAAAAAAATATCCCGCGGGTCGCGCAATAGTCTTTGTTGCCTCTTCTCGGCCGGCTCATCCACACCTACGTCTCTTTTCCGATACACGTTCACGCGCGCAACATTGACACGACGTGCCTACTTATTAGCGCGGTACTTAACCCGCTCTTATTCCCCGGCATCGCCTTACTATTCTCCGGCGTTTATGTAGGTCGTCGCTCTAATTCAACGCGAATGCGTCGTCGTCCGCGAATAAGCGGCGCGCCGCACCGTCGACGGCGAAGCAACAGCTGTCGCCGTATTGTTTCCTCCTCGCGTGTCATTAGAGTCGCGCGAAACACGCGGCCGAATGGCACTCGGGTGTGTCGTCGCGTCGCACGCGCGACATCGTCCGTGAAAATTTTCGGGAAAACCGTCGAAATGTCGTATCGATTAGCGCTGGAAATTTCAGATTTGCGCCAAGAGGCGCTCGCGACCTGGCTCTCTCTACGGAGAAGCAGAAGAGCGCGCAAATTTCTAACGCGCGACATGAGCCCTGTTTTATATCGCGTTTGCGTCGTCAATGGAGTATATTGCATTTCATTTTTATATGCGACATAACTGGCGCAACTTATAAAATTAAACGGCTAATTTTATAGATACATGTGTTATAAATAGTGGCCTCTGATAGCAATATCTAGCTCTTCATATGGTATCTATACGATTTTTCCACGTGATCTTATTTAATCCGTCTCCCGAAACGATTAACGTTGGAAATTGGAAGAGAGGGGCTGTGGGATTAAACTCTCGGACTTATCTTTCACTTAATTTACGGTGGGGGGGGGGG